GCACTTAATGGTCACGTGATCAAAATTTAGACACTTGGCAACTGACTCATTTATGACAGCCGCAGAGTCCCAACTGGCGCAAGCAAGGTCATAAAATGGGGCAAAACTCACTTAAGAACCGTCTCATGTTATCAACTTTATCAAAGAGAGACAGAGAAAGAAAGAGAGAAAGAGTAAGAGAGAAACAGAAAAAGAAAGAAAGAAAGAAAGAAAAGAAAGAAAAATCCAATCAATCTTGCATTGCAAAAATTGGGGAAATAAAATTCCCAACAGCTCCAGCCTCAGTTCCCAAAGTCGGCGAAGCATCTTTTCTTTTTTTTCCCTCCCTCTTTCACTCCAGCAAGGTGTGTTTAGACCTGTAGGCAAGGTGAGTGCACTTCACAGGAAACCCGGGCAGGTTGAAGCAAGTCTCCGCCCGGAGTGTTTATTTACTCCATGTTTCAAAAGACTGGCTTCAATAAATAAGCTCTTTTTTCCCTCTCTCTCTTGGGTTCGGGGTGGGGGGCTGGGGGGGCCTTGGCTCGGCAAGTCCTAATTTGCTGAGCTCAAGATTCACCTGGGGCGAGCAGAGGCTGGCTCCCAAGTGACCACACGGACTGTTTTAATTTTTCTGTTTTCTTGGTAAGGAGGAAAACAACAAAAAAAGAATATATATATATATATATATTGGCTTCCAAGCTGTTGGCAGGAGTGGGGGGCATTTGGGGAAGGGTGAACCCTTCAACCCTTCAACCATGTTACTCTGTAATTCTGCTTTCCTTCCTTCCTTCCTTCCTTCCTTCCTTCCTTCCTTCCTTCCTTCCTTCCTTCCTTCTCTCCCTCGTTTCTCACTTTTCTTCTTTCCTTCCTTCCTTCCCTCTCTCCCTCCTTTCTCTTCCTTCCTTCCTTCCCTTTTCTTCCTTTTCTTTCTTTCTTTCATCTATCTTTTTCTTTCTTCCTTCCTTCCTTCTTTCCTTCCTTCCCTCTCTCCCTCCCTTCTTTTTCACTTTTTTTCTTTCATCTATTTCTTTTTTCTTTCTTTCTTTCATCTATCTTCTTTCTTTCTTTCTTTTTTCCCTCCCTCCCATCTGCAAGTATCCTTGGTAGACACACCGCTGGTTGTACCTGCTCTAGCAGGAGTAAATTAAGCAAGAGCCACAGAGAAGAGAGAAAAATATGCTTTCCTAAGTAATCAGCCCTGGGATCAAGCAAGCCAGCCACCTCCCAATTTCAGAATATTTTTCTATTGTCTTGTCCCTGCGGCCAAACATCCCCCCCCCCTGCCCTGCGCTCCTAAGCCCCCTGATAAAAACCAACAGCTTTGAATTCAGATCCTCTCGCTGGAGGAGGACAAAAAAAACCGGAGAAGGCAAAAGCAGGAACATTGAGAGATTTATATTGTATTGGCTTTTTTGGGGACAGCCCTTAAGAAGAGAAAACCCCTCAGGAGAAAGAGGGGGGGGAATTAAGATTTCTAGGAAGACTGGGAAAACTGTCTAAAGAAGCATTTGGAAAGGACAGGAAGGATTCCTGCATTGAACCCAGGACCAAAAGGGAGGGGCTAGACTAGATGATCTTTTAGTCCTGCTCTCAAATCTCTGCTCTGCCTTTCCAGCCTGTCCCGATTGCAGCCAGTTGAAACAAGGGACCAATTTCATCAGCAGACAGGACCCCCTGACTTATTTCCAGCACGTCCGGACGTGTGTGCAGTGTGTTTGTCTTTGCAAACCGGGGTTGTGCGTCACTGCAGACACGACATCCCCAAACTTAGACAGAGATAGGTCACCTGCCCTGGGGGGGATTCTGGAGGGGGGGAGAGTATGCGTGGGTGTGCTTTGCAACCCACCTCCTTAAAAGATTCAACAACAAAATTCACCCCTTGAATTTTTCCACAGTGGCTCAGATAGGTTACGTCTGAGCAGGGAGGCTCTGCTTCTAATCCCCTGGACCACCAAAAGAGTCACCAGATTCTGCCTCTCCCTTTAATAAAAAATCTCTCTTTTTTTTTTGATCTGCTGTGTGGCACCGGCGCTAATATAATAAGCCGCGGTGTGATTTATTTGTGCATATTATTTAGAATAAAGTGTGATTCACACAAGTGTGGAGATTTGCTAAACAATCCGGAGGCTATTGGAGGCCCCCACCCTTTTGTTCTCCCCCCCCTCCCTGACTGGGGAAGATGCCCAAATCTTGCTGGGATAAGGATCTAGCTAGCCTAAAGCTGGCTGGGGGTGATGGGCTTTGGGATTGCAATGCCACTGGCTATTCCAGGGCTGTTCCTGGCCTTTGGGCTTTCTAGCTAGATCAGCCGTGCGCCAGAGTTGTGAAGCTGTAGGAATAAAAGCAGAATTTGGGGAATTTACACCCTGCTTTGCAAGGCTGAAGGACACACACACACACACACAGCTTTTTGCGGACTCAGCAATCTGGGTAAGCCAGCCCCGGGCGTCTCTTTGTTTGGGAGCCAGAATTTCCAGACAAAGCAACTTCGCAGCTGGTTTTCCCTTTGATCGGGAAGAAGGCACCCCAGTTTTCAAGGAGGGAGCCAGCCAGCTCCCCCCACCACCACCTCCGCCACAAACTTCCAGAAGATCTAGGATTGTTTTTTTCTTTTTAATAGAAAGGAGGAAAGTACTCTGTGCATGCCCAGAGGCACCTTGCAGGCGAACCTGCTTTAAAACAGAATATCAGAATTACAGAGAGTCTTTCCCATCCCGCAGGCCTGTTTGCACAAGCTGATAGGGCAAGATTTATTTTTTGTGAATTCTGGCCAGGGGGGAGGCAGGCCAGAAAGTGGGGGGGGAGGAGGAGGACTGGGGGGGTCCTTGGTGCTCTCTGAACTTGGTGGTTTTCCTGCAGACGTTTCAATACCCAACTAGGAAACATCATCAATGCTAGAAGGGAGGGGGGTTTGCAGGATGGAAGAGGAGGAGGAGGAGATGGCAGGGCAGAAGATGGAGCAGGAGAAGGAGAAAGAGGAGAGAAGGAGAGAGAGAAGGAAAAAATGAAGGGAAAAAGAAGACAGACAAGGAAGAAAAGAAAGAGAAAGAGGAGGAGGAGATGGAGAAGATACACCAGGAGGAGGAGGAGAAAGTGGAGAGAAGAAGAGGGAGAGAAGGAGAAGGGAGAAACAAGCGGGAGAAGACAAAGGAGGAAATGGAAGAGAAGGAGAAAGAGAAAGGAAGGAGAGGGAGAAGAAGAAAAGCAGAAGGAAAAAGAGAGAAAGGAGAGAGAAAGAGGGAGAGAAGGAGAACAAGTAGAAGAGAAGGAGAAAGAGAAAGGAGGGAGAGGAAGAGGAAGACAAGGAAAACAAGAAGATAGAAGAGAAGGAGAAAGAGAGAAAGGAGGGAGAGGAAGAGAAGAAGGAGAAAGGAGACAGAAGGAGAGAGAGAAGGAAAAGGAGGGAAACAAGAAGGAGAAGACAGACAAGGAGGGGAAGGAGAAGAGAGAGAAAGAGGAGAAGATGGAGACCACCCCAGGCCAAGTTGCCACCCCTTCCTCCTCAGATCTTTGCCCCCCCCCCACATACACCAGCCTCTCCTTCCCATCTTAGCCAAATCCCGGCCTCGGCCGGACACGGAGGAAACCAGATGCTTCCTGCAGGAAACGGCCTGCGCTTCCCAGCCAGTTCCAGGAGCTGGGAGAAAGAAGGCTGGAAACAACAGTGGGAACACTGCGGGTGGCAGCGTCCCCACGCAGGAGCAACCCCCCCCTCCGCTCCTTCCCATGCCCGCCGGGGAGTCCCGCGCGCCTGGTCAGAGAGCCAGTGGGAATGTCGCAGCGCCTGGTTCCCATCCCCTTTGGCCAGGCCCACTTGGGTCCTGGCAGAGGAAGGTGATGGCTGGGTGACGGGAAAGGGTTGGGCATCGCCACCTCGGATGCCAAGTCAGAACCCTGAGGACTGGCAACTTGCCTTTATTAGTTCAGGAAACGGCTTTCTGGGTTGGCTGAAAGCAACTTCCTGGACTAAGGGGCCAGTCCTCAAGGTTCCCTCTCTAGGGGACCCGTTTCAATTACGCGTTTTTATATTCTGATCGATTGGTTCTAAGTATTTTTCACCGGCTCTCTTCCATGGGAAAGGAAACGCTTTAAGAGAAAGTCAAGATTCTAGTCCTCATGGTTGTGTGCTCCAATAGGGCGGGCTTGAGGACAGAGGAGGGATGTGTGATCAGAAACAACAATAAATGGCTTTTTATATCAGGTGACAAAACTGAGACAACCAGAAAGCCAGCAATTATGCTTCTTCCTCAAGTAATATTGCCAAGCTTCCAGTCCTCATGGATTTGCCTGGAAGTCTGATTTAAATGCTGAAAGGGAGCTTTATGATAAAAGAGTCCCATCTTCATGGTTATGCATGGAGCCAAGTGATGTAAATGCTTTATAATAAAGACTTCAGTTCCCATGGTTTTGCACAGACAACTGATTTAAATACATCTCATAAAGACTCCAGTTCTCATGATTCTGCACAAACAACTGATTTAATTACCAGGTTTATACATAATAAAAAAAATGCCAATACTCATAATTCTGCATAGGCAAGTTATTTAAATGCAACACTTCTAAGAAAGATTCCAGTCCTCATGATTCTGCACAGAAAACCGCATTAAATGCCCTGCTTATACGTAATAAGGACTCCAGGCCTCATGTTCCTGCCTATTAAACATTTAAAAAACAGCATTTATAACCAAGTTTCCAGGCCTCATGATTCCGCATAGCAAACGGAGGTCAACATTTAGCCAGAGAATAACTTCAACAGGGTTAAATGAGAGTTGGGAGGGTTAGTTTTAAATGAAAAAGGGCAGACGCTTAACTCCAAGAGCGTAGCAACTCCTCCCCAGCACTCTGCCCATGCTGAAGAACCCGCCTGCCCTCGCCAACCTCCGCTAAAACGAAAAATGTTTAAAAGTGGGACAAAAACTACGACTCCCGGCCAGCACCGCGGCGCTTCACCGACGCCATCCGCTCAGCAAGCGCGGTGATTGGAAGGCGCGGGAGTGACGTCATCAGCGAGCGACGGGCCAGTCGCGGAAGCGGGAAGGAAAAGTCTTACTGCGCCCGGGAGAAAAGCGGGGCCGGTGGGTCGTGTGAATGCGGGCACGGGCAAGGGTCGGCGGTTGCGGGTTTGTCTCTTGGGAAGCATTTTATTTATTTTATTTTATTTTGCAATATTTGCATAGAATTGGAAAGGGCTGGGTGGGCATCCTCTTTTGATTGCTGCTCCTAATAATAAAAATATAATTATAATGACAATTAGAAGCCGCACAGATGTAATCATACAATAATGAAGATACAATAACCGTATAGATGCGCAGATATAACCGTAGTTATAATAAATAAAAGATCCAATAACAATTGCTGTCATTTATAACTTACTTATAAAATGTATTGGCTGCCCGTCTTGACACAGGGTAATTAAGAAATGCACAGATAACAATAATTATGTGAGTATATTAATATATAGATACAGCCATGGCTGTTAGGAGAGTAATAGTAGAAATAGTAATTGTATAGGGTCTCCTACCTGAGCAGGGGGTTGGACTAGAAGACCTCCAGGGTCCCTTCCAGTTTTAGTCTGATTGTTTGATTGATTAAAAAGCCCTGGAAAAAAATTGCAAACTTTCTGTCTGGGTATAAGTTCCTGGCCCTTCGGAGGCTGGACTCCAGTTCCCATCTGCCTGGCCAAATGGCAACAGAGTTCATGGGGCTTGTAGTCCTATTTTGTCTGAAAAGCTGGGCCTTTTCTAATGCTTTAAAGTGGATTCGAGATTTTTTTTTTTTGAGGGGGGGGAGAAGAGGAGGGTATTGCAGGGATAGGCTGTGGCATTCCCCCTTTGCAGAAGAAAAACAAAAACCAAAAGATTCTGCATGTACTTGCAAAGAAAATCCTTAAAATTTGGGCAGAGGTGTCCTGAAATATACTGAGCCAGGCAGATGCTTGCGAATCTCTGTTTTCACTGTGGTTTTTTTTTTTCCCCTGAGGTTTTTTAGGATCATGACGAAGCTGCTTCAGTGGCTCGGCTCTCTGGCCATCCTGGGTAGCATCTGGGCTGCGTTGATGTTGGATCTCGTGGGGCAGCACCCCTTATCCCCAAGCTGGCGCCAATTGCTGTGGCCCTTGCCAATCTACCTGTTGGTGATGTTCGGCTGCTACTCGCTGGGAGTCGTGGGCTACCGCCTGGCTACCTTCAACGACTGCCAGGAGGCCTCGCTGGAGCTGCAGGCGCAAATCCGAGAGGCCCGAGCCGACCTCGCCCGCCGCGGCATGAAGTTTTGAACCCGGGGCTCTTGCGGGAACAGAAATGACCCATGGACGATAAACGACGGGCGGCATAGGACGGAACTGTTTGGGCTGTGGCCCGGCGGGAGAATCCATCCCAGAAAAAGAGCTGCTTCTTTTTTAAAAAAAAACACTTTTTTTTTATTAAAACTTTGAACGGTAGCAAAAAGTAATCTGGCATCTGAATCAGTGTAAATAGAAAAATGAGAAATGTAGGAAAATAATGCAGAGAATAAGGGAGGGAGGGAAGGAAGGAAAGGAAGGAGAAAACGGTTGATAATGGAGAAGGCAAGGAAGGGACGGAAAGAAATAACGATAAACTAATAAGGGAGGGAAGGAAAGAAGGGAATAGCTAGATAGACAAGGGAAGGAAATAGATAAACACGACAGGGAGAGAGGGAGGGAAGGAAGGAAGGTAAAAACAGGATTGATAATGAAACTGAAGGAGGCAAGGAAGGAATAGAGGAAGAAGAACAATCCACATTTTTTAAAAAAAACTTCATCTCCCAAGTCAGAAAAAGCTTTTCGGGAAAGGAGCCAGACAGACCAAAATATGGCGACAAAGGAGGAGCGTAGAGCTGACCAAGAATTTTCTTTTCTGTATCTCTTTCGCAATTAAATTGAATTTTCATTTCTGGAGTGTGGCAGGTGGGATCTGACGGGAAATAGGAAATCCCACAAGGGGAGGGGGGAAATTGCTGGCTATACTATTCTAGAGGCTTAGTTTACAAGGCAGGTGCCAAAGTGGCGAGTAGGTTTGCATATATATATATGCAAAAGAGACACACGTATGCACCTCCAGGGAGATAAAACCTTTTTTGCATGCACCCACTAGACTCTTGTCTCTGTTTTAGCTGATGTTTCAGGACCTTGAGCAAACCAGACAAATGAACGAAGGAAATTAAAATCTTCCGTTTAGCACTAGGGGTGTCGCTCAATTCACGGGGATCTGCCCTGTATTTGAATCAGATTAAAAGCATCTTTTTTTTCAGGACTGTAGTCATTTTGAACGGTCACCAAATGAATCCTTTTAAGTCAAAAACTACCTGTATTGTGTTTTTTTTCCTCCTTCGGTTGTCTGCCCAAACTATTAATTCTTCATAAATATTAATGCCTTCATTTTCCCTTCACGCTCTGCATTTTTGTAGTCTTAACACACACGGCGAGTTAACGTCGTTTGGGTGTGCCAGATAAATTGTGTCTACAATCCAAGCGCGATGGTAATAATCATTTGGGCTGTTCCTTACTCAAAAAAAAAAAAAAAAAACCAGGATATTCTAGATTTTTGGGGTTTATTTAACTCACACATTCCAAGTTGGCGGGGGCAGCGCAAAGACACCTGTTAATTAGAGAGGCAAATAATTAGCCCTTTCTGGAGAGACCGGTGGCTTCAAGGACAGGAAGGCGTGACTCGGTTTCCCTGGCGTTCTGGTCCAACAGGACTTGGGAACACAAACATTTTGGTCATTCATAAAACTGCACATTTTTCTCCCCGTTCTGCAAATGGCGCCTTTGTGTAGCTGATGGGGGGAGAAATTAAACCTATTTGTTGCACGGATGAAAAGAATTAAAAAGGTTCGGAAGGGTTCCGGGAGATCATCTAGACTGACCCCGTCCCAATGCAGGGAATCCTAGAATCGGAGAATTGGGGGTGGGCGGCTTGGAGACCCTCAAGCATCCAAGGAAGAATCCGCGTCAAGAAACCTTAGAAGTGATTTTAGAGAGCATCACCTCGGTCCCTTTCAAATGCTGGGATTGACTAGATAGAATCCCACACTGGAAGGGACCTTGGAGGTCATCTAGTCCAACCCCCTTCCCAGGAGAAATCCACTATACAGAAAGAGAACACTGGGATCATATAGCCCTCCACCCACCCAGGGCAGGAATCCACTCAGCTGATAGCCAAACAAACTCTCCTTTTTGTGTTGTAAGTTCCATTATTATTATTATGTTTTAACCATCTTAACTCTGATTTTTGCTCTGGGGAGATAAAAAAAAAAAGCAACTCTTGAAAGCAAGATTTAGACCCATCCCCTCCTGTTTATTGCAAGGCACTCATAAAGCTACATCTGTGGAATGTTTCGCCTGGAGCTCTCCTCTTCCATTGGCCCGATGTTCCACAGGTCAAGACCTCAGAGAGATCTCCCACTTAGAAGAGAACCCGATGGATCGAAAGAGGGAGAATTTTTTTTTTTAAAGGCATTTTGTCCTTTTTTAATTCACATTTTTTTTAATCTTGTTTTGTCCCCGATTCCCCCCTTTTCGACTTTGTCTTTTAATCTTCTGAATCAAATAAAAAAAATTGAAAGCAGGAGTAAAGGAGGAGGGGGAGGGTTTTTATATAAAAAAAGGCATTTCTGGTGGACGGATTAAAGGCAACTTTGGCAGTCTGAATCAAGTCCTCGAAAGAGAGAGAGAGAAATGACAGATTTTGGAAGCTCAGTCTTCAAAACCCTCCAATATTTTTCCCACAGCTTTCTGCCCCCTCCCCAAAAAAATATCTGGTGGGGAAGCACCTCTACATTCCCCAGACTTAGGGTCTGCAAACCTCTTTTAAAGAGGCCAGCGAGAGAATCCCGTTCACCTTGTTCGGGAACTGTCCCCCCCCCGGAATTCACATTCCCTCCCACTGCAAAATGCACAGGAGTAGCCCGGAGTGGCATTTAGTTGGTCCAGATGGAAATAAACCCCCCATGCTGGACAGAGGTGAGCAGGCTGTGTGCCACAGGCGAGCTGGGCAATCCAACATCAGCGCGTTTGCTGATTTCAGAGGTTTTTTTTCTCCCTCGATTGGCTGTGGAGATCTTCTCCGATTCCTTCCCGTCTTCAGGCCTGGAGAAGCTTGTAATTTGTGTCCTTTTCAGTGGGATAACGCCAGAAAAGCCAGAAACGCACAAGGCTGGTGGCGATGCCCGGCACGTTGGGAACCTGGAGGAGGAAGAAGAGAATTGTGGGGTCCTTGTGAAGGGGGGGGGGTTGAGCATGGGCGGTTCTCTTGCAGACCTTTTGTGAGCCAGCTAGGGAACAATGTCAGTGCTAGAGGAAGGGGGGGTTAGGGGAGGAGGTGGAGGAGGAAGAGGAAGAGGGCTGGACTGAGGGGTTGTTGATGCTGTTTTCTTGCAGGTGTTTCATGATCCAACTAGGGAACATCGGCAGTGCTAGAGGAATGTGGGGTTTAGGGGAGGAGGAGGAGGAGGAGGAGGAGAAATGGACAGTGAGGTCCTTGGAGCTTTCTGAGCTTGGTAGTTTTCTTGCAGACGTTTTATGACCTAGCTAGATAACATCATCAGTACTAGAAGGGAATGGGATTTGCAGGGGAGGAGGACGAGGACAACGACGACGACTGAGGACTCCTTGGTGCTCTCTGAGCTTGGTGGTTTTCTTGCACACGTTTCACGACCCAGCTAGGTAACATCATCAGTAGCATGCAGCATAAACAGAAAAAAATCTGTCAACAAGCCATCGTCTCTCCCTGCTCGTCCTCTGCCCTAAAACTCAGTTTCTTTCGGCCCAATTCAGGCCCCAACCTGGCCAGATACTAACCGCGATATAAAGATCGTCCAGAAGGAGCCCGTAGAAGGTCCAGCTGGCCGAGGCCAGGAAGGTGGTGACCGTCAGCGGGAAGGACAAACAGCGGGTGGAACGGCTTTTCACAATCTTGATCTGGAAATAAAAAGATTTATTTCTGCTGGAAATCAAATCTTTATCGGGAATAAAATCGTCCGAATGGCGCAGGCGAGGAGGGGAACGCGAACCCTTTCTTCCCGGCCCCTCTGGCAAAATTATTCGGAGATAATATGGTATTTTCATGGTCTAAGGCAGGGGTGAGCACGTCCCTGGTTTTGGCGCTTGCAAAGAACGGGAGTTAATATTAACCAGTTTGGCTGGATTCCTGTAACTTAAGCCACATTCACACTGGTTTTTTAACGTCCTTTTTTTTTTTTTTGGTACTTTTCTGGCCCTGTTTGCATTTCAGGGAGAGTTACAGGATGGGTGCGTTTTATTGGAAGCGACATTGAGAGCGAGCATATTCAGGGTTTATTGTAATGAAATAAGCCACAATTGACGGGTACTCATACGCTAAACTCCACCTTACAAAGCTGAAGGCGGCTAGGATTCTGCCTTAAATTAGGCCAATATATGGGGTTTGTTGGGGGGGTCCAGATGCCAGCACACCTGCTTAATGGCGGTTACAAGTGAGCTAAGCACCGCATTGCTCAAGACACAGGAAGTCCTCAACTTATGACCATAAGTGAGATAGGAACTTCCATCACTGAGTTTGCAGGGAGGAGGAGGAGGAGGAGGAGGAGGAGGAGTAGGAGGAGGAGATGGCGGAGTAGAAGATCCCGTCAAATAAAATAAATTAAAAAAATAAAATTAAAAAATAATAATAAAATAAAAATAAAGTAAAATAAAAATAAAATAAAGTAAAATAAAAATAAAGTAAAATAAAAATAAAGTAAAATAAAAATAATAAAACAAAATAAATAAAATAATAAAATAAAATAACCATAAATAATATCTGAGAGAGCATCGCCAACACCTGCCTGTCCAGCCTTGCACTGGAAAACTCCCTCCACATGGCCACCTGTTCCACTGACTGATAGCCGGTTGCCACTTCATGTGGCAGTCAGTTCCGCCGTCTCATGTCTTACCAACCAGGAAACACTTCCTGACCTACACAAGCTAAGAAGTAGGAGCAGAAGGGCGAGGGACAGCCGACTGGCAAAAACCCACATCGAACCTGGAAAGAGATCCAACTGGACTCTTTAGCAATCAAAGCTTCCTTAGAACCTCCAGCTTCAGTAGAAGTCTACCTCGGAACGCCAAGTAATAGCATCGAGAAGGGTAGAAAAGGTGAAAGACGTTATGAGCTTGGGCAGCTTCTGAAGAGAAACCTTGGGGGGGGGTTATTATCTGAGGGCTCCCGAGGGCAAACCTGGCTTGTCTTGGCAAAGGCTTAACCTGGGTTGGGCATCAAACCAGGTTAACGTATTCTTTGCCTTTCTGCACCCTTTTCCGACAGGTGCCTCTTCTCTCTGGAACTCAATCTGGACCCAGCCCTTCTCCCTTCTCTGCATGCAAAATTAAAATTCTTTTGCTAAGTTTCTTAACTGTCAATGTTTGCTTCCGTCTCTCTGGGCGTTGAGCTGTCCTTAAACCGGAAAAACGGCAGGCGTGCAGCTGCGTGAGCAAATGTGTTGCCATGTCTCAGGAGGAAATAAGACCAGGAGCTGGCGGGAAGGACTGCGCAAAGCAATAGGTGGAGCCGGGAAAAGGAACACAGCCGGGCTGCTAGTTTACAGGCAGTCCTTGATTTACGACCACAAACTGGGATCAGAATTTCCGTTGCTAAACAGGGCGGTTGTTAAAGAAGGGCAGCCTCACTTTATGGCCTTTTTTTGCAGGACAGAAGAGAAGAGAAGAGAAGAGAAGAGAAGAGAAGAGAAGAGAAGAGAAGAGAAGAGAAGGAATGAAGAATAGAACAGAATAAAAGAATGAAGAACAGAATAGAATAGAACAGAACAATTTAGAATAGAAGTTAGAAGTGACAATTGAATTATAGAAAATAGAATATAGAACATAACAGAAATGTAGAATATAGAACAGACCAGACCAGAATAGAATATAGAA